TATTTTAAATTACGATTCTAATCAATAGCAAAAAAAAATTCACACTATATTGAATTATTTCAACAATTATTATTACATTGCTTAAATTGTATTTAATAATAACTAGAACTTAAAACTTAAATCTATTTTGAATTTGAAAATTAGAAATGATTCTTAAAATATTTTTGATATTCAGATATAAGAAATGATTTATTTAAATATTTTTAACTATTTTTTTCTCATCGCGCGAAGCGCGAACATTTTCACTAGTAAGAATAATAATAGGATATAATAAGCATTTAATTAGGATTAAAAAAAAAGCTTGGAGGAGAGTATCCTATTTTATTTGGTAATTACTTAATTGATGTGTTAAAAAAATAATTTTGTGAAGGGATGACCTAAAGAGAAGGAGAAATTATAAATAAAAAAACCCTCACATGACAGTAATTAATAGTTTTGGAAAATATTAAAGTGAAAATAGAAAGGAAAACGGTGTAATTGGAGAAAAGGAAGAAGATGGGTTGCTTCGATTGCTTCGATGGAGGCAGCAAAAGAGAACAAAGGAGAGAAGAAGAACAATTAGCCTCCGAAGAAGCTCGTGCGAGAGCTGCCGAAGCCGCCCAAAAAAGGCAAATATCTTCTTTGCCCTATCAATTTGTTTTCATTTCTTATGCATATACTGGATTCATGTATTCAATTTTAATTTAGTTTGATCTAGCAGAATAAACATATGATATGGGCTAAAAATCACCTTTAAGTTTTCGCTTTACCACATATAAATGAACTACAAATTTGCTCATAGTAATACTCCCTTCATTTAGTTGACGATAAGGACGAAGATGGACATAGATCCAATCACCAATATTGAAGACCACAACCCTGCGATGCTTGTCTGCGTTAATCTTTATACGCTCTTGGGCTTGCAAGAAATTGGCCTTCAAAATAGCTAAGACTTCTATCTTGTTGGAGAAAAGAGGCACACACAACAATATTAGTTGAACCATCCTGGATAAATATGGAAACAATTGGAGGGGCACGACCATAAACTACTTCAAATGGAGTTAACTTAGAGCTGTGTTGGTATGACATATTATACCAAAATTCCTCCCAAGATAACATGGAAAACCAAGTGGGTGGAGTATAAGGAGCAATGCACCGAAGATACATCTCTAAACACTTATTAATACCCCCGGTTTGGCCATCTGAATGGGTAATACGGTGAACTCAAAGCAAGCCATGTCCCTTGGAGTCTGCAGTTCTTGTCAAAATTCAGAGAGAAATAAGGGGATCATGATCACAAACAATGGTGACAAGGAATCCAGGTAAATAAACAAATTCCTGAACAAACACCATAACAACTTTTTGTCTATTAAATTTGGTCGGCAGGGCAATAAAGTGGCCATATTTGGAGAGACAATCTATAATCAGCAATATAACAACACGATGTTGCGATAGAGGAAGTCCAGTTATGAAATCCATTGAAATATCTTCAAAAATAACATTTGGAATGGGCAATGGGGGATAACAAACCAGTAGGTTTCAAGGTCGAGTCTTTCATTTGTTGATAGGTTTGACACTCCAAGACAAACTTTTGTACATCGGCGCACATTCCCGTCCAATGGAAATTGGAAAAAAGACGATGAAATGTGCGCGAGACATCAGCATGACCCCCAACTTTGAAAGAGTAGAACTCAGCAAGCAACAAGGATCGAAGGTTAGCATCTTGAGGAATAACCAATTGCTTCGAAATAGAAGCAGTCCTTCTTGAAAAGAAAAATGCGGCAGAGAAGTGGAATGCAAATTCAAGAATCAAGAGTTGTTGTAATGTAATTAATCCTTCATCAGTTTTGTTTAGGCACATAATTGGTCTAGCAAGGCCAATTCAGTGACGGCCAAAGTCAAAGCTTGAAGAACAAGAACTCGTGACAAGGCATCTATAGCGGAGTTAAGTTTTCCTGACTAATAGCGAATCTCAAAATCGTAGCCAATAAGTTTACTTAGCCAACATTGCTGCTCTAGAGTTTGTATTACTTGGCTGATGAGGGACTTTAAGGGTTGTTTGTCAGTGATGATCAGAAAACGACGACCCACCAAATATTGTCGCCTTTTTTGAACGGCTCGAGTGATGACAAACATTTCCCTATTGTAGGTAGAAGAAACTTGCATCGTAATGGAAAGCTTTTGACTGAAAAATGCAATAGGATGACCCTCTTGGGATAGAACTGCTCCAATCCCTATGCCAGACACATCAGTTTCCACAGTAAATACTTTGGAAAATCTAGTAATGAGAGGACAGGGACTGAACTCAAAACCTCTTTAAGTTGAAGAATGTAGCTGATGTCGACTCAGTCCAAAAAAAAAGTCCTTCAACAAGTCTGTAAGAGGAGAAGCTAACTGTGCATAACCTTTGACACTGTCATAGATGGTCGTAGCGCGTCAAGCCAAGAAAACCTCTAACCTCCATGAATGAGGTAGGCAAAGGCGAAGAACAGAAGAATGTCATATAAAAAAAACAACACGAATTGACGAAGGAATGTTTTAAAATAGAATTCATGGTGGATTGGAAAGTGGAGGGAGCATTTTACAGGCCAACTGGCATGACAGTGAATTCAGAAAGGCCGTCATAGGTGCGAAAAGCAGTTTTCTCAGTTTTCTCGATGTCCGGTGAGTGAAGGCGAATTTGGTGATAACCAGCCAAAAGGTCCATTTTAGAGAAAAAAATAAGCATTGTGTAATTCATCTAATAATCATCAACTATTGGTATAGGATTGATAAACTGATATAGATTGATAAACTGACTTTCAGGCTACAAGAGGGGTTTGTTCCTCAAATTCTTGGAATAAAACAGAACAAAAAAAGAGAAAACAACTAGAAAGAGGGAGGTTCTGGATCAACACTCTAAGGAACAAAAAGTAAGCAAGATCATTCACACCCTTTTCTCTGTGCCTTAGCCTATTTATGCTATTCTGTGTAAGGCTGAACTTGTCCCATTCTCTAGCGGCTTGGCAGAGGAGATATTCTTTTGGGATTTGGGTACACATAGTGGTTCGGATACTTTTGCAATTGCTTATCCCTCTTGCTTCGTCTAAGGGTCTTTGACGTGTCCCGCTGATTTGTAAGTTGTAACAGTTTCAAACTATAATCTTCCCCATTTTACCCTTAATGACACGCTTTTATAGCCACTGCAATCTCATGGAATATTTAAGAACAAGTGGACAGAGTAAAAGTTTCCCTGCATCAAATCCATAGCAGATAATTCTTTTCAAAATGACAAAAAAGGAATTCAGTTACATTCATAAAGGGTCATGTGTACAATGCATGAAAATCCTCATTGGCTTATATCGCTTGACAGATTTTCATGCACCTCTGTTACTTTCTTAATACCTGCTGTTTAGTCCTTGTAAATTTTATAGGTCTGATTTGGTTCACAACTTCTGTGCCCGAGAGGAGTTTTGGAATGATATGTAACATACACAATTTCTGTGATGGCTTTAGAAGAAGAATGAGGGAGATGTCAAGGTTCACGAAAAGTGGAGGGAGATTATGATTTTTGTTCAAGAGGGATGGATTTCAAATAATTTCCACGGTTTTAGAGAAGAGGAAAAACTTTCTTACCTCAAATATGCTTCTTCACTTGTATTTTCATTTTTCACATAGTAATTAATGGCAAGGGACTTCACCACTTTAAGAAAATTAAAGTGATAAATGGAGGAAGAACAAAGAGGAAGTGAAAAAATGGTTGGTAAAGTAAGAGAATATTGAGTTTGTTTGGTTCTTTGAGGACTGAGGAGAGAGTGGAAGAGAATGTTTCTTTTTTTCTTCAACTTCAAATAAATTTGCATCCAAGGAAGCAAAATTGCTTTTTTCGCTCTCTCTCTCTCTATATATATATATATATATATATATATATATATATATATATATATATATATATATATATATATATATATATATATATATATATATATATATATATATATATATATATATATATATATATATATATATATATATATATATATATATATATATATATATATATATATATATATATATATATATATATATATATATATATATATATATATATATATATTTATAAAAGCATAATAGATGATGGTCCACTTCTTCCTCCTTTCTCATGTTCCCAAACACAGTACCAATAAGGGCTACAACAACAAACCCAATGCAATATCTCAAAGTGGGGTCTGGGGAGGGTAGAGTGTATGCAGACCTTACCACTACCTCTCCGAGGTATAGGGGCTGTTTCCAAAAAATACCAATAAGGGCTGAGAGGAAGAAAAGTTGATCCCTTTAGTTATACATAGAGCTCCTTTAGGCTTATAATACAATTAACTGCTAAATCTGTATAGGCAATATTTTAGCTTAGTACATTCTATCTGATTATTACTAACCATGTGAAGTTTATCAAGATTGATATCTGTATAACCATAATCTCAAAAATCTGAGCTCAAACACTTCATTAAAATATGTATTGGCTCATGCATATAACATTAATGTCATTTTAACGAAGCACAGAAGGCATGCTAATTATTTTGTGAAAAATACTATTAACTGATACATACCAAGGACACTCTCAGGCACGAATAACAAGATATGTCATAAACCATTTTAGAACCATCCTTTCCCTCCGGTGATCCTTACGGTCACCGGAAATAATCACTGTTTTATTTCTTTTCTCAAACCTTCTCTAGAAATGGAAGATTGTATCTATTTTGCAGTTGACTTTAAGTCTTTTGATATCAACCGAATCACAGGGACATCAGGGGAGTGGTATGAATGGACAGAAAGGAGCAGAAAGGATATCACTTGAACTTCCTTCAGCAAGAGATCGATGATCTGGATCATGCAAGTACTGAGGGAGGCATCTAAGATGAAAGGGAATGTGGTCAAAAGGTGGAAGAAGACAGAATCTTTCTGAGATCTTCTGTGCTAGAAATTTTAACAAATTTGGGAGATATATCAGTTTAATAAATGTGAGGGGAAGAAGAAGGTCAGTCATAATCATCCTAGAACTTACTATTAACTCCGGCTGGGAGTTCATAGCAGAGAAGGTGGGTAGATTCTTACTTACCCAGAAGATGGAGGAGAACAGAATTGAGCAGAGACTAGTGGATGACAAAATTCCCTACGCAGAAGCACTCAGAAGTGGCAAATGGATAAATAGGAGTGACAGTGAAGTTAATGTGGAACCAACATTAATGGTGGAGGGTCCCATTCACATTGATGACAACATCAGCACAATAAGTGAAGTATTGAAAAGGAGTTTGGTGGGTTTCTTTGAAGTGAGGGATGAGAACTACCCTACGTTGTCAGAAATTAAAAGATGGACAAGCAGCATCTGGAAAATCAATCATGGTTTAAACATTTACGAAATGGGGAAAGGAAGATTCCTCTTCGAATTCGCGAGCAGGTTCACAGCAGAACATGTGATAACTGGAGACTGGACTCGAAATGAGACTTTTCTCCGGCTAGAATGGTGGAGTCCGGCATCAGGCACAGTGGGAGAGGGAGATAGACCCTCCACAACCTGGACTAGGGTGGTGGGTCTTCCTCTACACCTCTGGTCGGAAAAAGTTTTTAGGACCGTCAGAAATCTTTGTGGTGG